AGTCCTGCCTAGATGAGTCGGGTGCATGTATGTGATGGGCTCACCCCCTCGCTATAGTCAACACAAATTTCACCAGCGCTTCTTTGCCTTCAGGTTGCTGCTGTGGAGCAGAGGATGAGGCACCCTTTGCCCAGAGCACTTCTGTAGGCGTGTCACAGACCAGGACGCCCAAGGCAGCTCAGTCTTCCCGGAAGACCCACCCCTGTGAGATGTGTGGTCCAGTCCTGAGAGACATTTTCCACTTGGCTGCGCACCAGGGAAAAGAAAACAGCCAGAAGCTGTTGAGGTGTGGGGCCTGTGGGAAACGATTTTATTTCAGTGTAAAGTTTCAGCAGCAGCAGGAGCAGCACGTGGGAGCAGAACCCTCCAGAAGCCGTGTGGACAGGGCCTCTGTTGTGAAGAGCTGGGGATTCCATGGTTCAGGAAAGCCCTTTACCTGTGGAGAAGTTCAGAAGGACTTCCTGTCTGGCTCGGGGCATCTGCAGCAAGAGGCCACTGATACTGGGGAGAAGGCACACACGATCACCCAGCGCAGGGCAACTTTACAAAGCAGAAAAAGTCATGACACCTGGGGAGAATGCAAGAACGCCTTTGGTCCCAAACACGCACATATTCAGGAGCAGGGTGTCCACCTTGGAAGACAGTCCTTTGTGTGCAGTGAATGTGGGAAAACATTCAGGTACAAATCTTTATTTGCCATACACCAGAGATACCACACTGGAAAAACATACGAGCTTGGTCAATGTGGAAAATCGCTTAAGCAGACGCCAACCCTGAACGAACACGGAAAGACTCACAGTGCATCCAGGCAGTACACGTGCAGCAAATGTGGGAAATCCTTAGGCCGCAAATCTGTCCTCATTCATCCCCAGGGATGGCACAGTGGAGTGAAGAGTTACGTTTGCAGTGGATGTGCAAAAGCTGTTAGCTGTAGCCCAGTGTTGATTACTCATAGGGTTGAGTCTGGAGAAGGGTTTTATAAGTGTCGTGGCTGCCCAAAATCTTTTCCCTCTATGTCTGCCCTCTCATATCATCAGAGATCTCATGCAGGGGAAAGACGGTATGAGTGCAGTGATTGTGGGAAATCTTTTACCAGTAGTTCTGCCCTCCGTTCTCACCAGAGAGTTCACACTGGTCAAAAGCCTTATAAATGCAGTGCATGTGGGAAATCTTTTGTTCGTAATTCTTCCTTACGTTATCACCAGGCAGTTCATAGTGGAGAAAGGCCTTTTGAGTGTACCGAATGTGGCAAATCTTTTATGAGTAGTAATGGCCTCCGTTATCACCATAGTGTTCATACCGGAGTGAAGCCTTATAAGTGCCATGAATGTGGCAAATCTTTTATGAGTAGTTATCGCCTTCGTGGTCACCAGACCATTCACACTGGAGAAAAGCCTTATAAGTGCGATGAGTGTGGGAAATCCCTTGCTAGTAATTATTCCCTCCGTTCTCACCGGAGACTTCATACTGGAGAAAGGCCTTATGTGTGTATTGAATGTGGGAAATCCTTTCTCCATAAAATTACCCTTAATAAACACATACAGCTTCACTCAGGTGAACGGCCTTATAAGTGTAATGAATGTGGGAAATCTTTTACTACTAGATATACCCTCCGTTACCACCAGCGAATTCACACTGGACAAAAGCCTTATCAGTGCACTGAATGTGGGAAATCTTGTACTACTAGTTCTGACCTCCGTAGTCACCAGAGAGTTCACACTGGAGAACGGCCTTATGAGTGCAGTGAATGCGGGAAATCTTTTACCCGTAATTCTGCCTTCCGTTATCACCAGAGACTTCACACTGGAGAAAGGCCTTATGAGTGCTGTGAATGTGGGAAATCTTATACTAGTAGTGCTGCCCTCCGTTCACACCAGAGTGTTCACACTGGACAAAAGCCTTATGAGTGCTGTGAATGTGGGAAATCTTTTACTACTAGTTCTGCTCTCCGTTATCACCAGAGATTTCACACTGGACAGAAGCCTTATAAGTGCAGCGAATGTGGCAAATCTTTTACCACTAATAAACAGCACCGTGTTCACCAGGTAGTTCACAGTAGGGAGAGGCCTTATGAATGCCCTGAATGTAGCAAATCCTTTTCGCGGAAACATACACTCAATACACACAAAAAACTTCACTCAGGTGAACGGCCTTATGAGTGTAATGAATGTGGGAAATCATTTACTGTTAGTTCTACCCTCCGTTTGCACCAGAGACTTCATACTGGAGAAAGGCCTTATGAGTGTAATGAATGTGGGAAATCTTTTACTGTTAGTTCTGCCCTCCGTTTGCACCAGAGTGTTCACACTGGAGAAAGGCCTTATGAGTGCCGTGAATGTGGGAAATCTTTTATCAGTCATAATGGTTTTAGATACCATTCCAATCTTCACACTGCAGGAAGGATTTAAAATAGCACAGAAGGTGATACTTCTTGCTTAGTATAGTTGAGGCTGGAGGACAACCTCTGTGAGGCAGCCACCTACCTGACTTGAACATGGTTCACCTGAATGTCTGCAGTGGACTGACTTCCCATAAGATCCAGCTATTTTCAGAAAAATTCAGAACCTGCATTGTGCTTTCTGGTGTGCATGCAGTCATTGCACGATGGAAGTCCCTGTCAGTGTCTGTGGCAGAAGTCCTTTCACCTCTGCCACCTGGCGGTTCCCATAGTGTGCATAACTCACCACCCCAACATAGTTAATGATGCTGACCTGTCTACTTTCTCATTTGCGCGTCTAAATTATGGGTAATTGGAACTCCTCATTCTGTTCTAAATTAGGGCATGGATGTTACCCAGTGTTGATCCAGAGTGGGTGATCTGAGTTCTGGGTGGTGACTTGCACAGGAAGACTAAATCCCATCGGGATGTTGGTCTCATGATGCTTTGATGACTTTAGCTCCCAGGTCACCACACAGGAATTGTGTGCCACGTGTTGCTCTGGTTGATGCATTAGTAAATGCCATCTTGGTTTAGTTACCTTTAATCTTGTACATTGTGTGCACTCTAGGGGGTGGTGGTTTCAAAGCAGGATTGGTAGGGGCGCCTGGGTGGCTCAGTCGGTTAGGCGGCTGCCTTCAGCTCAGGTCATGATCTTCGGGTCCTGGGATCGAGCCCCATGTCTGGCTCCCTGCTTGGCGAGAGCCTGCTTCTCCCTCTCCCTCTGCCTACTTGTGCTCTCTCTCTGTCAAATAAATGAATAAAATCTTTAAAAAAAAATAAGAGGGCGCCTGGGTGGCTCAGATGGTTAAGCGTCTGCCTTCGGCTCAGGTCATGATCCCAGGGTCCTGGGATCGAGTCCCGCATCGGGCTCCCT